GGATGGGGATGCCTGGGGAGGATGAAGGTTCCACAAGGGCCCAACTGATGATCCGATTCTGAAGCAGAACCAGTTCGTGATGGGCCCATGGGATGGGACAAACCGGATACAAAAAAACCCACAACTTCTAGGAACCCAAGAGAGGGTGGCCTTAGTCAAGCCTAGTCTAGGAGGGGCCCAGCCCCCCTGAAGACTCCTCAAGGCCTGGATCAGCAGTGGATGCATCGAGCCAGCTACTATGAGCTACTAATAGGTGACAGGGGCCCTTTGGGGCAGTGAGAACAAACTGGAGAACACATTTCTGACTCCAGGTTTTCCCTCTTGAGGCTTGGAAGAGGGACCAACTGCCCTTCTAAATGCTGCCCTTCAGGCAGTCTCAGACCTTGGGGGGTTCTTGGAGATTTTGAGGAGGGACATAAGGAGCCCCAAGAGGAACTGATGAACCTTCTGCTAATTTTGCATGCAAGGGCAAGAGTCTGCTTTTAATTTAAAAATAAAAGAAGGCCTGTATTTATATCTTGCATCTGTGAAGCAGTTCATACTGGCTTTACAAATCGTACCAGATTGTAAGGAAACAGCTAGCCCCCCATCTTCCACTTATTAAATAGAAATGGCTTGGGAAATAGATCCTTGGAGCCTTGGGACTCACAGGAGCCTCCCTTTAGGAACAGTGGTGGTCCCCGGGGGGCAGGTGTTGATGTGAGAAAGCACGAGGGAATCCTGTTTCCTACCACCCAGGGCTGCTATAAGACACTGATCTCCACAGTGCATCTCTAAATTAAAGCCAGATCTTTTTACGTGGAGAGCAATCAACCAGAACACAGACACTATTTGGGCAAATAATTACAAGATAAAGGTTACTTCTTCTCCTCACCACTGGGACAGGTGTACAAGTCGGGAAGAAAATGCAGGACCCAGTTAATCAAAGGGGTAACATCTGCCTACAACGTGCCATGCTGATTTTCTTTGTAATGGTCACGTGGGACTTGAGGACAACCAACACATCTTATTCCTGCCACTAAAAGCTGGTTACATGGCTTAGGTACTCGGTAAGTGGGGGGGGGGGGGGGGGTGTAGATGATGATGGCAGTGATGACAGCATGATCGTCATCAGCTTCAACGGTACTAACAGTAACAGTGGATGCAGGCACTGAGCCAAATGCTTCCCCGGCATTCTCTCCTTTAATCCCTATTCGAACCCTGGGGATTACGAGGTAGAAACTATTCACGTCCCCATTTTGCAGATAAGTAACTAAAATTCAGAGAGGTTAAGAAATCCACCCAAGGTCCTGGAGCTCGAGAGTAAGGAATCCACATCTGTTGGGCTCTGCAGCCCTGCTTGGCCATGCTGGTTCCATGACTGTCGGTCCTGGATTGCTCATTAGAATCATCCAGGGAGCCTTGACCAATACCACGGCCTGGGCTCTGCCCTCCAGGAATCCACAGCCAGGGTCGGAAGCCTTATCCCCACCAGATGGGCCCTGGGCTGCTGTAGCTGGTGTGCTGAAGGCCACCAGAGCCTTTGGCAGGGAAACCCTTTTGTCGCATCTCATTAATAAAGAGGGTGTGCTATTTTCTCCTGGAGCCCAAGATTCTACCCTGAAAAGGCCCAGAGCTCCCTCTGTTCCTGCCCACAAGCCCCATCTCAAATCTTAAAACCACCTGGGTGAGGACCTGGGAGGATGGTGGTAACACTTCCATTTACTGGATGTTTGTCTGTTAGGCATCACTGTGCAGGATTGTGGGTGTTAATTCTAGTCTTCTGAGCAGCCCTTCGAGGGGGTTATTTTAGTTTCCGATAAGAAAATCGAAGCTCAGAGAAGTCACGTGACTTTCCCAAGGTCACACGGCTAGTTAAAGGGGAGGGCCATGACTTGAGTCCATCATTGTCTGGCTCCCCAGCCTGGGCCTTTCAACTACACTAGGGTTACCTGACTACCAACCTCGTAACTCAGCTCTGGACCAAATTATTTTAACATCCTCATCCTGATGTATAAGGCAGAGAAAAAATGGCTTCTCCATAGAAGGAAGTAGGAAGATGCTGGAGCTGGGCTTGGTTATTTGTTTAATCAGCTGGTATGGTATCCCAAAAATCATTCGCGATACGCCAGTGAGCTAACAGTAAAACACAACCCTACCTCCAAAACGAGATGTTCCATGTCTTAAAGAATGAAACCCCTGCACACAGCCCCCCTCGGAGCTACCACTCTACTGTGTATAAGAAAGTCTCCGCTGTTATCAGTGACAAGGTGGGAAAACAAAGGCAGAGAGGAGAAAACATTTTTCTCCCATCTCCAAGAAGTGCTCTGGAGTATGAAATGAAGAAAGTGGTCTTTTACAAAGCCATGATGAAAACGTGCAGCTTTCCATCGGTTGGCAGGTGTTTCTGGTAAAGATGTGAGTGGACACAAAGACCCAGAGTATTCTTTCCAGGCTGGTGGGAGCGCCAGAAAAAGGGAGCAGAGAGCCTGAAACTGCAGCCGGGGTGCCGGGGCCACAGACCGCGCCACGGCCGGGGGGCGGGTAGTTCCTTACCTAGGGCAGGCACAGTTCACCCACTCTGAAGCCGTGGCCAGTGGCGAGCCTCCTTTGCTGGTGAAAGATGGAACGTGGGGCAAGGTCACGGGCAAATCCTGCAGAGGCACGGGTACCGGGCCGCAGGCCGGGCAGTGGACCATGGGGATGGGCGTGCCCCAGTACCGCTGTCGCGAGATCAGCCAATCCTTCAGTTTGTGGCTTGTCACGTCTCCACCTACCCTCTTCCTCTGGGCTTGCTGAGTCAAGGCTAGAAACGCATCCTGCCGGCTCATGCCTGTGAACTGTGAGGGGAAGGAGAGAGATCCTATGCTTCCTTCCACAAGGACAAGCTGTCACCTGCCACGACCCCCCCCGCCCCCAAATTGCTGTTTTGTGTGTTGTCTGTGCAGGGCCTTGTTGTGACTTTATGAGCCCCAGGTGCCTTCACCTCTGTGGCCCCTTCCTCCCTAGGACAGTTTTTTTTTTTAAATAAAGATTTTTATTTATATATTTGAGAGAGAGAGAGCGAGCACAAGCAGGGGGAGCGGCAGGCAGAGGGAGAAGCAGGCTCCCCGAGGAGCAGGGAGCTTGATGCGGGATTGATCCCAGGACCCAGAGATCATGACCTGAGCCGAAGGCAGTCGCTTCACCACTGAGCCACCCAGGCGCCCTCCTTTTATATTTAAATTTTATAGAGAGCAGAGCAAGACACTGAAAGTAGAAAAGAGAAATCTCTCTCTTCACCTTATGCTTTCCAGAGAACCAAGCTAATGATGAGAATTGAGCCAGCACGGAATGCCAACGGGGGATTGTGGGTACCCTGGAATGGGTTCACTGTCGATGGACTTCATCCCTACTAAGTGCCAGGCTTTGGGCAGACGTTGGGGACACAAAGATAAAGATGCTCTGCCCCCTGGCCGCAAGGAGCTTACAATCCTGAGGCATAAAGATCTAAGTATAGCGATGTTTACCAAAAGCAGCCCCCTCCTTGGGGTCTGCAGTGTCTTCTCAGGCACACACACAGCTTGCTACCAAGGACGCATGCACCCTCTGGGAGGCATCTTTGATGCTCCTTCATGATCCTACATGATCCACCTTCACGTAATTACGGGACACAATGATCGCAAGCTCTCTTGAAAGGCTACCTTCTCCACGTCTCTACATTCCAGAAGCTCACAGATGATGGGAGCCTCTTACCACCTGTTCTCCTTCCATCCACTGAAAGAATTCATTATCCTAGACATTCAGTCGAGAGCCAGGGGAGGATTCAACAGACCGCCTGAAGCGATCTGAGGAAACCAGGGAGTATAATCAATGTCAGTCCTATAGTAAGGAGTGGGCAGCTCTCTGGGCATATCAGAAGCCGAATTTTGGGGCGCCTGGGTGGCTCAGTTGGTTAAGCAACTGCCTTCGGCTCAGGTCATGATCCTGGAGTCCCGGGAAAGAGTCCCGCATCGGGCTTCCTGCTCAGCGGGGAGTCTGCTTCTCCCTCTGACCCTCCCCCCTCTCATGTACTCTCTCTCTCTCTCATTCTCTTAAATCAATAAATAAATAAATCTTAAGAAAAAAAAAAGAAGCCGAATTTTGGCCATGAATGTCCCTTCTTGCTCTGCAGAGAGATATTGAGGGCTCCCGTACCAGCACCTTGGTGTGGCTCTGTTCCACCTCCAGGGAGTGTGCTCCAGTGTAGTCTAAAAGGTTTAAAGTTCAACAACTTAGAGCATCTTACTACCATTTAGGTTGTGAAGGCACAAATGTGAGGTCAGAAAACATTGTCACTCAGGTAAGGAAAAAACCTGGCCATACTCTCATTCTCTTTATATATCTATATACATATCTATAAAATATCCTCTAGCCACATAATCCCAAACCTGAAAATCCTGGATCTTCAGGTCTAATTGACTCAGGATCACCGAGGCTGGGGCCAGTGACGCCAGTGTTCCTGGTCCAGGGACCGGACTTTGAGTAGCAAGGCTCTGGGCCGGTGATTCTCAAAGTGTGGATCCTGGATCAGTAGCAGCACCTGAAAACTTGTTAGAAATATACGTTCCTGGGTTCTACCTGGGGCTGCTGAATCAGAATCTCCAGGTCGAGGGCGAGGCGCTCTGTGTGTGTGTATGAACAAGGCACCAGCCGGTTCTGGGGTGTGCTTAGGTTTGAGAAGCACCGTCTCTGCTGTTTCCCACTCGCCCCTCACCCTACCCCTTCCATCACACTTCCTGGCCTGGGTCAAGAGCAAGCCTGAGGTCAAGTCCTGCCAGATCTACCACCTGGCAAGAGAGAACCTGGCCCAAATAAACAAACGTGATTCAACTTTGGTGTTCATTTCTTTCTATACATGAGTTCAAATTTGGGCGGAAACAAGTCAGTCATCTGGGGAGAATAGAAATCTCTGGGAGGAACAGCCAATTTCAGTCACCCTCCCAAGGAATCCGTTTTCCTGGAAGAGGGAATTTTTTTTTTTCCCCAAGCAGAAGATTCCCAAAATATAGTGACTATGATAACCATACTATTCTAGGATTGGGCTTGACTTAGAGTTGATAAATTTCTAGATCTTGAAAAAGAATGTTTTGTTTTCACAGATTATAAAACGAGGCTGCAAGACCTTGAGGTGTGGGGATGAGTGAAATGGCAGGTTGGAATCTATCTGCACCTGAAGGAAAAGCTCTCATCAAACCCAGGTCAAGGTCGTGACTGGAGGAGCTGTAAGGCCCGTGCCGCAGGGAACCAACCTCGGCAGAGCTGCTCATCCTCTCTGTGCCATCCGGCAAAGTTTCAATGACTTCAGAGTAGGGGAGGCCCAGGGTCTGGGCTAAGGTGGTGTCCTCTGGACTGGTGCTCGGAATTCCTATTCAGAGGGGAAGAAACACAGAACACCTTCTTTGCAAATACCCAAGTCACAAAATAACGGACAGCACTGACACTCGGCTTTAGCCTCCTCAGGGAGACTCTCTTTTAACTATAGAAGTTCTAAAAATGCACCAAGGACAGCGGCATTCTCTTGAGGAGCAGGGCTGCCAGCTCCAGCATCTCCTGGCGCCCTAGAAAGATCCACGCAGTCCCGAAGTGGGAAGCTGGGAACCGTGGGGAACCGTGTTTCCTCACGCGATGCTTTGTTACCAAAGGCAATGGTACGTGCAGTCCAAATGGAAATTTCTTCTTCAGCCCACACGTGCCTGAGATGGGAGTTGAGCGTAAGCGAATCGCTCATCCAGAGGGCGAAGGCCGACTGTTTCGGCTTCAGCTCTGTGTCAAAACAAGCTTGTCGGTGGTTGGGTCTGCAGGGCAGACTTTCTCAATCTTGGCACGACATCGTTGTGAGGTTATGCCGAGCATCGCAGGAATGCTGGGCAGTGCTCCTGGTCTCTAGTACTCCCCGAAAGTGACAGAAAAAGGACTGAAAAATTGCCAAATGCTACCCCCCACCCCCGCCCCGGGAAGGGGCAAAATCTCCCCCTGGTGGAGGACCCCTGCTGCGGGTCAGCTGTCAAAACTGCTGATGTCCCTGCAGATACAACACGTTTCGTGGCTACCAAGCGGGAAGACTAAGGACAACGCACAACGTGCTGAAGTCAGATTTCCGTGAAATTTGGACCACCCGAGGGTTATTTCATGTTTGGGAGACATGTTCTAAAGCTCCTTGGCAAGACGGAAAGCTCCGTGGTATGATGGAACGTTCTGTGGTGTTCCAGCTGAGATTACTGACAAAAAAAAAAAAAAAGCATCTAACAAGGCAAATAAATGTTGGGAGTGGACTTGAAGGATATGGGAGGGTGAGGACAAACGGCAAGCAGTATTACTGGAAGGTGTTCATGGTCAAGAAGGGAAGAGAGTCACTCACTGTGTTCCCAAAGCATATGGTTTGGAGTAACCAGGAGAAATGTTCAAATGGAGACACTGGCCAAAAAATTTATTTGGCCACATAAAGAATGCTGTGGACCACAGTGTGGGTTATATGGGGCTCAGCAGGAAGTGAGCTACCTGTAACGTGCAGGTGGGATGGCAAAAACACTGCTTTATCTCTTTTTTATTTCTATTGCTTGTTCTTGGAAGTCAAGAAGCAATAACTTAGAAAAGGTTAATAATGTAACTGTGGGAAATCAAGACCACAGGGAAAATGATTTCCATGCACATCCAAAAAAAATCAGATTTTTTTTCTTTCAGAATTTTCAATATTGTGCCAGTAATTTGACTCAAAATACAGTCCCCCCCTCAAAAAAAGCAAAAATCCACATCAACAACAGCTTCCTTTATTGCTTGTCTTACCTGGTTGTATTAATGAATCTTACTAATTATAAAATACAGAAAAATAACAGAAGGAATTATTTGAGTGGTTCAGTCAGTTAAGCATCTGCCCTTGGCTCAGGTCATGATCCCAGGGTCCTGGGATCAAGCCCCACGTCAGGCTCCCTTCGGGGAGCCTGCTTCTCCCTCTCCCACTCCCCCTGCTTGTGTTCCCTCTCTCCCTCTCTGTCAAATAAATAAATAAAATCTTAAAAAAAAAAAGGAAGGAATTATTTCCCTTAAGCAACACCATTGCTAGGTTTAAATGGTCAGAAGGGAATGACCTGAATGGCTTAATATCCATTGTCTGTTTGGATGTTTCTTCAAATCACTTTTGTCAAAACCTGATCTGGGAATCAGGAGGGAAAACATGATTTCGGTAAGAAATGCTATTTCTTCTGGGTGCCAGGAAATCGAGAGTGCAGAAGGAACTTTCTCTGCAGGCTTTTGGCACTTTGAGACTGGCTGGGATCTGCAGCGGGAATGGTGAGGAAGAGGGGCGCTTGGGTCCATCCGAAGAGCGGATCTTGGACAGGCTGTCATTAGCTCTCAGTCCTCAGCTCACCCCCGGCCTCTGCAAGGTGACAACACCTCAGAACTCCCAGGGATGAGCAAAGCTGCGGAGGACATTCAATGCACAGTTCTAAATGCGCCTTCCACTTGACTGCTGTGTCAGGGTCCTTTCCCTAGAGGGCTCAAGTTCACCTCCTCAAGCCTTTACCAAAACCCAGCCCAGTCCATCACTTGTGCTCAGAATCCCCATCTCTTGCAGTTGTGGTTGGTTCTACGAGCTCTGAAATCAGATTTCATCTGAGTTGTACTGTTCCCCGTATCACATGTATGAGTCTCACCAACCAGCTCTACTGGCCAGATCTGTGGGCCACTTTTTGTTATTCTCAAGAGCCACTAGCAAGGTGTGGTATACTGGGTATGTTTTCAAAATGTAGCTCTTAAATAGGGAATGGCTGAATGAAGGGGCCTATCATTTTCCCAAAGAGGCAAAACAGACCGTGGACTCAGCAGTGAGCTCTTCCGGTTGACAGCAACAGGCTGGTATTTTGATCTGAAGCCTGCTGAGTATATTATCCTGATTATATTTTAATAGCTACTTACCTATTTTGGAATCCAGAGAGCCCTCCAAGTCAGCTTTGGCCAAGATAACGACAGGGACCTCCTGCTGGGTGAGCATGTTCACAGCCATCACGGGCGTGAGGCAATCTGAAAATGAGAGCAAGTGACAGCTGGGGTACTAACACCATCTGAGTCTCAGAGGAGACAAGTGAGAAAAATAAGCACGGGGACTTCTGCGTCTGTGCTAATTGTTAAAGAATCTGTTCTTTGAAGGTATTAATGGATAATTCACACCAGTAGAAAATCAAAAGATTAAACAAGTACACAAAAATGTTCGTCTATGCTCAGAACCAAAGAAGTGAAATGGCATTTTTACTTTACAGATGGTGAAGATGGTCCCGCCATCCCCTTTTCCTTTTGAAAAATACCTCAAATATATAGAAGAATAAGCAACACAAAAATCTATGGTGACTAAGGCAATGTCAGGAATTCCAAATCCTGGCACCTGAAGATGGAAGTGGATAGGAGAGTAGAGAATAACTAAGCAGAGAGCAGGAGAGCTCTGGACACACGAAGACAGGACAATTCTTCCCACCTACCCTTTTTTAGGACAGTGGAGGATGTGTTCCAGCAAAACAAAGGGGTAAATCAAGAAAGAGACAGAAATGGGATCTAGGAAACAGAAGATCCAACAAAAGAAAAGCGGGTCAAGACACTCTCAGAACAAAGACAAAGGGAAGCCATAGCATGGCAGATGGGCAGCAGAGGCCTGGAGAGTGACCAGGTCAGGCCTGTGCAGGACAGAGGGCCCAGGAAGCATCCTCCGGGGGAAAAAGGAGCATCAGTACATTATATGACAGGTTGGAATATGTAGAAAACTGTATTGAGAGGAGTTTTAAAGAGCCTCTGGGAGGGTGTGGGAAGACTTAGAAATCCAAAGAACACAAAGCAAATGAAAAAAAATAAGGACATCATTAACTTCAGGCAAAACAGAAAGTATATTACCAAAAAGAAAATGTAATCATAGTATTCTTGGCTCAGTTGTGAACGATATTTACGTGGTCATAATAAAATACTTAAATTCCCATCTACAGGAATGGAAGCATGAAGACCGAAACACAGTCCCAAAGGAATAAGGGATGAAAGGGGTAAACAATTAGTGAGTTCACTTGAGCTTATTGCAACATAAGCAACTGACAACAGTTATAATTTGTCAACTCTATTTATATTTGCTATATTTTATGACTTCATATAATTATCTAAAATATGTTTTACAAACCCCAAAGTTAAAATATGCCCAGGAAGTAAGATGTATTCTTTTCAAAGAGGAAGAGATAAGCTCTGTAGGCATCTAAGCCAGCTCTTCTCTTCTTTCATCTTGCAGGGGTCAGGAAGCACAAGACAGGTTACAGTGGGGACAGAGTGACATATAACCCAAACGGGTCTCCAAGGCAGAGGTTCAGTAGCACCCATGGTCCCAAGGCTGGGAAGCACCTGCTGCCCTGAGCTGCCTAAGTGAGGACACTTCTCAAAATGGAGACCCATATTTCTGATTCCGTACTGCGCCTTTTCAAAGATGAAGTGTACGTGTGCAAAGTCTGCAATTATGATAAAATGTGATGAAGAGGATGGAAGATGAGGGGAGGTGGTGCACGAGTAAAAGTTGCAGGGTAATGTCGAGAACTGGTGAACTGAGAGGGAACAGGGCAGGCATATTATACAGACACGTGGAGGTCTGAACCATAGAAACAGCTGTGGCACAGACCGACAGTCGACCACAGACCTGCCTCGCCTTTTTTTTTTTATTTAAGATTTTTATTTATTTATTTGACACAGAGAGAGAGACAGCGAGAGAGGGGAACACAGCAGGGGGAGTGGGAGAGGGAGAAGCAGGCTTCCTGCCGAGCAGGGAGCCCGATGCGGGGCTCAATCCCAGGACCCTGGGATCATGACCTGAGCCGAAGGCAGACGCTTAACGACTGAGCCACCCAGGCGCCCCCTGCCTTGCCTTCTGATTCAGCAACAGAACATTTAGCTGGACATACGTCTGCATAGCTCCACAACAGCACTGCTCAGCCTCCCTTGCATTAGGCGTGGCATTGGGGTACGTCCAGAAGCAACTTCTAGGGCATGCTCTCGGAGGGAAGGAACATGCCCTTCTTTCCCTGCTTCTGACTTACTGGAATGCAGATGAAGTGCAGAACATCTCAGAACACACAGGTAAGGGTAAGACCCTTGAAGGACAGAGTGGGAAGGCAGAAAGAGCCTTGGCCATGACTGACTCACAGAGCAGACTTGTCATACTTGCTTTGAGATTCAGGTGGGAAAAAATAAACTTCTGTCTTTTTAAGTCACTGTGTTTTCAGGACTTTGTCGTAGCCACCAAACTTACACCCTAAGTAACACATACCTAAAATGATTCGAGGTGGCTGGGTAAGGAAGCTCCTGCTGTTGCTAATACTCTTTGACTTTGACTTTTCATGTGATATACACATATCACTTGGATCTTACAAAACACAAGTTAATTTTTAAAAAAAGAAGAAAGAGAAATTAACATAATCTTGAAGTATTATCATTTTACACCTGATAAGTTAGCAAAAACTTTTAGAAGGGTACCATCAATACTTGCGAAGTTGCACTGAAATTCGTGTGAAATTGGATATGGCACTATAAACCGATTATAGCCCTTTCGGAAACCAATAAAAGCCACCTGTAACAAGAACTAGAAAAATGTTCATAACCTGTGACCTTGTAAATCCCACTCTGGGGAATGTCTCTTAAGGAAGTAATTCTATAGAGGAAAAGAACTATGTGGATATAAATGTTGATAGCAGCTATGCCTGTGACAGCCCCAAACATGAAAAGGCCAAATGTTCAACATCACAGGGAAGATTGAGAATATGATGGTACATTGAGTTAATGGAATATTATGTATGGATTAAAAAATAATTGTGAAGCCTGCCTAAAAACAAACAAAAAAACCCCACTTTCTGAAATCATATTACATGAAGACCAAAACATAAAGACAGAAGCTGTCTTTTCTTTAAGATACGTTTCTGTGGGAACATGAACTAAAAAGTAATATGATCACACACTGGGGCACCTGGGTGGTTCAGTCGGTTGAGCATCCGACCCTTGGTTTCAGCTCAGGTCATGGTCTCAGGGTCGTGGGATCGAGCCCCGCATCAGGCTCTGCGCTCAGTGAGGAGTCTGCTTAAGATTCTTTCCCTTTCCCTCTCCTCCCCACTCTGCCCCTCTCCCTGCTCACATTGCTCTCTCACTCCCTCTCGGTCTCTCTCTCTCAAATAATTTTTTTTAAAAAAGGTAATATGACCACATGCAAAAGAATGAAGGCGGAGGGGCACCTGGGTGGCTCAGTCATTAAAGTCTGCCTTTGGCTCAGGTCATGATCCCAGGGTCCTGGGGTTGAGCCCCGCATCGGGCTCCCTGCTCAGCGGGGAGCCTGCTTCTCCCTCTCCCACTGCCCCTGTTTGTGTTCCCTCTCTTGCTATATCTCTCTGTCAAATAAATAAAATCTTTAAAAAAAAAAATCAACAACAGAAAGACAATTCAATTAAAAAATGGGCAGAGAGTCTGAATAGACCTGTCTCCAGAGAAGATACACAAATAGCCAACAAGCACATGCAAAGATGCTCAGCATCACTAGCCATCAGGTAAGTGCAAATCAAACCCACAATGAGACACCACTCCCCACCCACTGGGATGATCATCATCAGAAAGACAGACAATAACAAGCATCGGCGAAGAGGTAGAGAAATCGGAGCCCTGGTACACTGTTGGGGCGAATGTGAAATGGTGTAGCTGCTCTGGGAAACTCCGATACTTCCTCGACCAGTGAAACACAGAGCTACCGTATGACCCAGCAAGTCCACTCCTAGATACATACGTGAGGAAATGAAAGCATATGGCCACACAGAAATGTTCACAGCTGCACCACTCATAGTAGCAAGAAAGTAGCTAGAATGTCCGTCAACTGATGAATGGATGAACAAAATGCACAACATTATTCTGAAATAAAAGGGAATAAAGTATTCACACGGGCTACGACATGGAGGACACTTGAAAACATTATACTAAGTCAAAGAAGCCAGTTACAAAAGGACAAAATACTGCATGATTCCATTGATATGCAATGTCCAGAACTGGCAAATCTATGGACAAAGCAGACCAGTGGCTGCCTAGGGCGGGGGAAACAGTGGGGATAGGATATGGGATCTCTTTGGGGGTGACAAAAATGTCCTAAAACTGTGCGTAATTCTGCAGATATACTGGGGCACCTGGGTGGCTCAGTCGGTTAAGTGTCTGCGTTCGGCTCAGGTTGTGATTCCAGGGTCCTGGGATCGGGTCCCGCATCGGGCTCCTTGCTCAGCGGGGAGCCTGATTCTCCCTCTCCCTCTGGGCTCTCCCTGCTTGTGTTCTTTCTCTCTCTGTCAAATAAATAAAATCTTAAAAAAAAAAAAAATTCTGCAGATATACTAACAACCCCTGAATTGTGCACTTTAAATTAGGGGTGAATTTCATGGTATGTGAATTATATCCCAATAAAGTCATTACAAGAAAAATACAAAAAAAATGTAGAGTACCACATGAAACAGGTGGGTTGGGTTTTGAAACAGGTGGGTTGGGTTTGAGTTTTTGCATTTTTTGCTTTTTTGTTTTTTTTTTTTTCATTTTTCCACCTCAAAGTTCTGTTAGGACAGCTTTTCCACTAGAAAAAAAAAATCAAGCCTATGAATTTAAATATTAGCAGATCGGTAATGAATACACAGCAGCATCTCACATGCTTGCTGCACCTGGTTGAAATCCATTTCTCAGAAAGGACAAAACTAAAACTGGAAGCTCCTGACCAGACCGAGAGCTCTCCGGTAGTTCTCAGTCAGGTGCTGGCAACGTGAGGCAGGATGCAAGGAGGCCAGGGAGAAATCTGAAGGAACCGAGGCACTTCCTATGGTGATTCCATAACTGCCAAATGCCTTAGCACAAAGGAAACACTCTGGGCCCAAAGGTGCCCTCTGCCCTCGGGGCCCCACTGCAGAGCAGGCCTGTCTTTCGTGCCTTCTGGAAAAAACAAACAGGTGGCTTTTGTTCAGTGGTCAGCAAAGCAGTGATCCGCACAGGGATACTCTGTGGGAACAGGGTTGTGTGGTCAAGGGAGTGTGGGAAGTGTCATGTGACCTGCTCTCGGACACAGTTGTGGTGGGCAACGGCGCAGCAACAGTTCTGACAAGTCCAGGAGCACAGAAACCCGTTCGTCTTTGTTTATCCAGGTTATGGGAGCGCAGAGGGCCCCCCCCCCATAACATCTATTAGCGTGTGGGGAAGGATGGCAGAGGGAACAGTTTGATTAAAGAACAGACTGTAACCTACAGGATCCCATCCCCACACACATACAGAGCAGAAAGGGGGAAGACAGGAGTGAGCAATTAATTATTTAATGCTCCGGGGCTCCCGGGGAGACGAGGCTCTCACTCTCTGACGTGGCAGTAACAATGGGGTTCTGAGGTACCCTTTAGGGAGACCTCACTTACCCTTTCGGCAATAAACGCCCTGTGGAAACCACTGGTGACTCAGAGCTGAAATGTGTGGTTCCAAAGCCTCAGGGTTTGAGTATTATTTTAATATTGGAAATGTAAGAAAAGACGCCAGGAAAAAGACAGAACAGCTTCTAGAACTCCGATGATATTTCCCTATTGATGCTTTTTATGGTTTCTAGCTCCCATCAAGTCAGAGCTTACATAACACGACTTAAGTCAGAGGCGGTCAGCTGAGAGAAGGAGGCAACGTGAATGATAGAAATAAACTCAGTTTGAAGAACTCTATGGGGAAGCACGTGACTTTTTGCTCTCTTAAAGGGATCTATGCCAAATTACAGGAGGCTAAGCAAAACACAGTGCTTCTAGTCAATAACATCAGCAACCCAGTCGGCCCAGCCAGAAATCAGGGCAGCGTCCCCGGAGCCTCTGCCCTTGCTGCCTTCCAGAAACTTCTGGGAGCTGCTCCAGCCCCTCCATTCTGACAACCACTGTTCTCCTATCTTCACTGTCTCTTGTTTGCTGGTCCTCCTGCCTGACCTCTGCCAAGCACGAGCCCCCATCAGTGGGTGTCACCGTCCCCCTCTGAGCCATTCAAGGCTCCTTCTGTCCCCGCAGGGCCCCCCACAACCACCCTGCCCACTCGGCTGGGAAGGCCAAACTCACAAAGGTGAAGTGACCTTCCTTAAGTCACAGGACGGCTCTGGGACCAGAACCTTGGCCATCTTCTGCCCACCCAGGAGCTGATATGCAGAAACCAACTTAGTGGCTGTAGGAACCCGTGTTTGAGAATTTAACCTCCTGCAAGTGATACATTCCGTCACAACCCCGACTTTCAGTGGTCACTAGTCACCCTCAAAACCTGACACTGGAGGAAAAAAATCAAGCTGCCCGTCTGACTGGAGCCAGTGGGCAATGCTAAATGACAACAGCAATACAACGCTCAGGTTTAAAATGTAACCTCCAAGGCCAAAGAAGGCATATATCCATAATCATATGATGATTTTCATTTGATTTTTAGAAAAACTACGTTACACTGAAGGCACCGTACTGGCCTTCCATAACTAATGCCACATGTCAAAATCCAGAGACTTGACGTGCAAATTAATCTTGAGACTTTGAATAAGTTGACATCTGCAAAAAGAATATTTCTACTCTGAAAATTAGAATTGGAAAATATAGAGCCAGGTGTAATGTTCCATTTGGAATTATTTCAGAGATTATTAAAAAGAGGTGAGAATGAAGCTGGCCAGCCCTTCAGTGCTAAAATGAAATGATGGGACAAGTCAGAGGTGCCAATGCCCCGAATGATCATGAAAACATCGCTCTTTGCATTTGCTAAAATAATTTAATTTCTTACATATCAAAATGTTTGGAATTTATACACTGCCTTTCATGTCAGGAGCTCCATCTTTCATAATGTACGGTCTCATGAAGCCTCTGTTAATATTACATTTTAATTTGTGTCCGCAGATTAACTGTAAGAAAACAAAATCTAAGGGCTATTTACATTTTTTTAGTTTTTCGATTTTAGATATTCTTCAACCATCACAGCCCACAAGGAATCCCAAAATGCTCATGAGAGTAAAAACTATGAGTTTTCCCTTTCCACTAAACAGTTGAAAAGAATCCAGTTTTTCTTTTGAGTAAGTGGAAAATAAAACAGCTACATTGGACTTTATAAGCACAACACCGAAATTTTAACACATGTCTTTTTTCTGTTTCAATATATAACAACAGGAGATGACAGCAAGTGGTATCCGTTTTGGGCCAGAGTGAATCACACATGCGTCTGGCTCTCCTTTGTCATGGCCCCCTGGGGGCAGGACCGGGGACTCGTCCTCTGTGTGTCCCCAAGCGCTTAGCACCAGCAGGCTTTTCCTAAGTGCTCAGTGATTTGAACCTGGCTTCAATGCTGGAAGTAAGCAATTAAAGGTCTTCAGCAGAGGGGCAGCTGGGTGGCTCAGTTGGTTAAGTGTCTGCCTTTGGCTCAGGTCATGATCCCAGGGTCCTGGGATCGAGCCCTGCATTGGGATCCCTGCTCACCATGACCAAGTGGGATTTATCCCTGGGCTGCAAGGTTGGTTCAACATCCGCAAATGAATCAATGTGATACAATATATTAACAAAAGAAAGAACAAGAATCGGGGGAGCTGGGTGGCTCAGTTGCGACAGCGAGAGAGGGAACACAAGCAGGGGGAGTGGGAGAGGGAGAAGCAGGCTTCCCGCAGAGCAGGGAGCCTGATGCAGGGCTCGATCCCAGCACCCTGGGATCATGACCTAGCAGAAGGCAGATGCTTAATGACTGAGCCACCCAGGCGCCCCGAAATAAATAAAATCTTAAAAAAAAAGAAAAAGTCTCAGGGCGCCTGGGTGGCTCAGTCGGTTGGGCGTCTGCCTTCAGCTTGGGTTGTGATCCCAGGGTCCTGGGGTCGAGCCCCGCATCGGGCTCCCTGCTCCGTGGGGAGTCTGTTTCTCCCTCTCCCTCTGCCTGCTTCTCCCTCTGCTTGTGCTCTCTCTCTCTGTCAAATAAGCAACAAAAAAAAAAAAGTCTTTAGCAGAGGTAAGTTGGGATGACATCATCTATCTTTCCAGCCTTATACCAGGAAACCTTTCATTCTGGTTATTTTAAGAATAGCAATTAAAAAAAACAAAACAAAACTCTTTATATCACCAAGCAAACCATTTTTGTTAGTCAAACAATTCAAACAGACCCCGATAATTCAGACTGTGTTTTGGGTTGAAATTTATAGTCTGTGAAAAGAAAATAAGGATGAGATTTTTATAGAAATATTTACATTTCTCCAGAGACCTACTTCTTCTTCTTCTTTTTTTAGATTTATTTATTTATTTGAGAGAGAAAGAGAAGAGAGAGGGAGAGAATCTCAAGCAGACTCTGCTGAGTGCAGAGCCCAACGTGGGGCTCAATCTCATGACTCTGAGCAGAAACCAAGAGTCTGAAGCTCAACCAACTGCGCCACCCAGAGACCTACTTCTAATCGATGGGGGACTTCCTTTTGCCTGCCCAGGGTCCATACTGCCTTCCACTAATAAGAGCCTCTGGGTTTGTTTCGGGGAGCGACCCCTCCTCACTGGTTCTAGTCTTGGTGGTCTAACAAAGGTGTCTGACCTTCCCTTGCCCAAGAAAAAGGCCATGGGCCTCAGTTATACCATTCAGACAGCTTTCTCTGCAACAGGAATCTCGGACCAAGTGCCCCAAACCCTGAGGGTGAGGTGAGAGCAGATTCACTCAGTCAGTGGCGCTCAAAAGACTATCTATTAGCTCCTGCCACCAAAACCGCACAGCTGCCTGATCCAGCTCCTCTTCCAGACTGGTTCCTGCTAGTCAGCAAGGTTTCCACAGCCTCTAGGAGGTTTCCTTTGTTCTCCAGGTTGGCCAGGGAATGCATTCTGTTGCTTGCAACCACAGCATCCTGATTAACGCACAGGCCTCCCCAAATCCTCACTGACCAGTAACACCTGCTGTGCCCATTCCAGGTCAGCTGGATCCACTGACCAAAGGCCTGTGCTGAGCAGGACCCTGTTCAGCTGCTCAGATTACTGTGGGAAGCCTTTAAAATAATACGATGAAGTTTTTGAAAATGCTTGCTCTGATTTTCACTGGCTTCCTCCTCGTCGCCATCATCAGGATAGTCTTACGTGACAATGGAATTATAAATTAGGCAGAAGATGCTATTCCCGTCAGAAAGAGCTTTAAGTCTAGATTGTATCTAGAGAGAAAGAGTTGAGCTTTTGGTCAGAAACTCAAAAAGCCGACAAATGAGTTGCTCAAAGTGAAACTGGGGGTAGCAACATTTTCAAAGCTCTCATTTGTCCTGTTTGAAAATAAAAAACTAACAAGTCAGGCTCAGGCGAAGAACAAATCACACAGGATGACATAAGGGAAGAGACTGTGAACCTGAGAAGCGCTCGATGTCCAACTAGGTGTGATCCCTGCATTAGCCCGAACTCGCCAGCTCACCTTTGCCAGGAACAAGCACCTTCCGGAAGGCTTCCTTCAGAGAGCTGTGCCCATGTAAGAGTCTGTGGCTGGGAGAGATGGCCACGTGGGAGGTGCCGTAAATGGCCTCAGGGGTGGCTGTGTAGGCAGTCAGCTTTTCTCCTGTGACTTGACCATCCACCTGGCAGGTAAAAGCAGAGCCATTTCATTCCTCAGGGCTCCTCCGGGGCTGTCGTCCTCCCCGGGCCACATCCGCCCCTCCCCGCCCCCAAGCCCAAACACCAGGGACAGTTCCGGGCTGCAGCCCCAGAGATGTGGGGCCCTGAGATGGCCCCTGGCAGGGGAAGAGACAGGCGAAAGAGAAGACGATCACCATTCCTCTTTGAGAAGCCTGGTGCCCACCACCAGGTGTACTTGGTGGCCCCGAATAAAAGGGGGTCAAAGCATGCTCAGAAAGATGCCTCCCCCATTTTCCTGGCTCCTTTGTTCACCAATCAAAAATAACTATCAATGTTACATTGTTTCTGTCCTAACAAAGGAGCTATACTTTCCTCCAGGATCTAAGGTATAGTAAAAAAAAAACTGCCTTCAGCTCAGGTCATGACCCTGGAGTCCCGGGATCGAGTCCCGCATCGGGCTCCCTGCTCAGCGGGAAGTCTGCTTCTCCCTCTGACCCTCTTCCCTCTCGTGCTCTCTCTCATTCTCTCTCTCTCAAATATATAAATAAAATCTTTAAAAAAAAAATAAAGGCATCTGCTTTTCTAACCAGGAAAACAGTCCTTGAGGCTAAAACCTTGTTCTGAAGAGGAAAGGGAGGACACCTGAGGTCGTGACTGAGCGTGGTCCTAGGGCTGGTTAAATGCCTTTCAAAGAAGAGGCATACATTAGGCATCAACTGAATGCTGATTATATGATAGACACAGAGGAGACACATGCTCCTTCCTTCACACATTCGTTCAGGTGTGCTCACAGCGGGCCAATGGTGTGCAAGTCTATACTAGGGCCCGAGTGCTGGTTAGGGGTCACCTGTGGAGCCAGACTTAGGGCCCCAAAGGCCCAGCCACATATGGTCCTGTACCTGCTGGACTGAGGGTGTTCCCTTCCCCGAGACATCTCATTTTCAGGTGGGTCCAGGAACGGAGACAGAAACATTTTCATAATAAAACGTTGGGGAAGGGAGAAAATGTGGAAGCCGTTCCAGGTACAGCAGTCGACCAGCTCAGAGACCCACAGCCTTCACCCTGGCTGAGAAGCAAAGGCCTTGTGACATGGGGACCCGACCCAGTCTAATGCATAGGACCCCAAACGAGACAGCCCTAAGAGCCTGAACCAAAGTCGCAGCGGGACTGAATTTCAGAAATCTCACCACCTTCTCAGGAAAGTGGTGACAGAATTTGGTCATTTCAGGATTTGGTTTTCAAAGGTTTCAAAGTCCCCGCTCCCTTATGGGGGCCTTCCCATGTCTGCAGTTGGGAGTGAGGGGGATCGTGTTTGTGAGGAGACAGCACAGGGAAGCGTGAGCTCTGTGACAAGGAGCGGGAGCTCAGCAGACCCCAGGATAGCTGTCAGTACAAGTCTAGAAAAGTAGGTCAACTCTGTCTCTTGTCTGCTGTCCCCTCCTTCTAAAGGTCTGGCCTAAGGTGAGGGATGAGTTTGGAGCTAAGGGCACAAAAGTCTTGAGTAGGAAGGAGACACCAGAAGAATTAAAAAAACAAAACAAAACGACCCAGAACCCACCCAGGTAAGAAACAGCAAAGCAACTATCCAGTCTGTAGGGACAAAGAGAAAAGGTTGAGGGGCACCTTCCAGAGTAGGTGGGCTTTCGGTAGTGAACCCTGAGCAGTGTTTCCATACAGGTAGGCTCTTTTGAACCCTGGGTAAGCCCATGACCCTCCCCAGCTTCGGGTGCGCCCTGTTTTGAGATGGTGTCGGCCTTGGCTTGTTGGCTTTTAACCCGCTTTGTGACACAAACGCTGCGGAGCTCTGGGCCCGCTGTGCAGGAAGATGCCCACACAGCCCTCCGCACATCACCTCAGGGAGTTCACGGACCCACAAAAACCCTCTCTATCCGCGCTGACCAGCAGGATGGCCGGTAGCAGTAAGAGGTGATGGAACCCTTGGAATGTGGTCAGTGCTGCTTTACGTGTTAAGAGAGCGCAAATTTTAAAGACTCTGTACGAAAACCTGAGCGTCAACTGTTTCCTCAATAGAGCTTTGTTACTGACCACATCCTGAAATGATCATTTTTTGGTAGACAGTGGGTTAAAGATACGTTATTAAAATCAATTTCGCCTGTTTCTTTGCACTGTAAGAATGTGGCTACGGCAACGTTTGAGATGTCGCTGCTGGTTTGCTCGGTGAGTTCTGAAACTGCAGAAGGGGATCGGAGAGGTTTAATCGACAGAGAGGCTTTGCTCGTTCACCTTCAATGTGAAGTCCAGATGGCAGCCCACACAGTCTCCGATCCAGTGGGCCTGCATGCCTTTTATTCCATACCACTCGGGAAGGTCCACCAGCGCCTCCTGCATGGCCTGCGGAAATGAGAGGAGAAGAGGGCTAGAACTGTACTTAAGGGACACACAGGATGGGGGGCTTCCTAAGGCAGGAAGTGGGGGACATTAAAGGAGGCTCTGGATCAGCCCTCTCCTTGTCCACTTGCCAATCCGAGGAGCCCAGCGAGGGTCCGAAACAGATGCACTCACCATGACTCAATTTAGTGAGATGGGTTTGACTGATTTCTCTAATCTGAGCGGGCCAATGTTTTGCAGAAAGAAGAAAATTAATGAGGAAAGACCTTAATTAACATCTTTGATGAATGCAGTGAGTACATTCTCTCCCACAGTCTGGGAACTAAACAGAAGAAGTTCAAGTTTCCGAATTTTGAAACTCTGAGATAAGCAACTCATGGGGATGGGCATGCTACAACTCAGCTGTATCAAAAATACAACACTATAAATGACATCTTTGCATTAAAAAAATCAAAATCAGCATAAGGGAAACCATCGCGTCGATTTGTGTAAACATTCACTATTAGAAGTGCACATATATTTTCACTGTTTTTTTTTTTTTGGTGTGTGTGTCTACTTTTAGTCCTAAATTCCTATAAAGAGGGGCTTTTCTATAAATTAATCTCTATGGCCTCAAGTCCATGCCATCATTTAGTATTTGATGATGAGACACATTCCTTCAACAGATGGATTTAGAAGTAAATCACAGGGGCGCCTGGGTGGCTCAGTTGGTCAAGCGTCGGACTCTTAATTTCAGCTCAGGTCGTGATCTCGGGGTGGTGAGATTGAGCCCCGTGTCGGGCTCCACGCTCAGTGGGGAGTCTGCTTGAGATCTTCTCTCTCCCTCTCCCTTTGCCCCTCCCCCCACCAGTGCACGCCCACTCACACGCTCTCTCTCTCTAAAATAAATAAATCTTAAAAAAAAAGAGTAAATCATGTATTTGTAATGTGAAGATTCCAATTTTCAATTCCTAGTTGTGTTATGATTAATACAGGCAACATGATGATGCTTTATGTGCCTAGTGTTTATGTAATTCATACAGTGCTTTTACACACATCTCTTCTCACATACTCTGGTAAGGTAGCTCACTTTCAAACCAATGACCTTAATGCTGAGAGAGGTTAAAGCTCTGTGATGCGAGGCTGCCGGAGTGGACGAGTCATGACCAGAACCCAGACTTACTAAAGGCATTCTTCCCCCCCCAGCACAGAGATTCTCACTCAGCCGTGTGATAAACAGCACAGAGCCTTTTCTATACCCATCATCTGTCTATCCACCCAGTCTCATCTATTCAATAGAGTCTGGAAGCTTTAAGATCCAGAAATTTGTTCTGCGGCAGAAATTATGGATAATAGGCCCCATCCAGCTGACCAGCAATGTGTTTGTTCATTTCTTTTCTTTTTTTAAAAGATTTTATTTATTTGACAGACAGCACGCAAGAGAGCACAAGCAGGGGGAGCAGCAGGCAGAGGGAGAGGGAGAAGCAGACTCCCTGCTGAGCAAGGAGCCTGATGTGGTGCTCGAGCCTGGGACCTGGGTTCATGACCTAAGCCGAAGGCAGATGCTTAACCGACTGAGCCACCCAGGCGCCCCCATTCATTTCTTTATTCCACCACAAGGTATTAGCCACCCACCTGTCCACACCAGGACCTCATTTAGGCACTGGGGGCCTGGGCATATGCAAAGCAGGATGTGCCAGAGTCCCTCCCGTGAAGTTCAAACAATGCACACATGCAGTCTTGCTGCTGTTAGTTGGTTAACTGATCAACATCCAATGCCAGGTGCAATTAGCATCACAGAAGGTGAGACACAGGTCCGGGAGATGAGGCAACAGAAAAGAAAAATAGTGGGAAGGCAGGGAAGAAAATGAGCAGAGTGAGAAATAAGGGAGAGATACAAAAGAGCTGGATGGATGAACCGCAGAGAAGGAGAAGGGAAGTCATGGGAGTGGGTGGGTGGGGAAAGCAAGGCTCCAAAAAGGAAAGACAGGAAGGGGGGGAAAGGGAATTTGGAAGCAGACAGATAATGGGAAAACAGCACAAGTGAGGGAATGAAAGCTGGGGAGCCCCTACCGTGTGTGGGGCTACGGGGTGTCTGCCCGCAGTAAGGTGCAAGGAACAGTGCCGCATGGAACACGGCTTACCGGCTGCTCGGTGACACGGTGAGCCTTCCTGCCACAGGGCTGTCAGTCTCGAGTGACAAGCGAAGGAAAGAGGGAGCAGAGCTACACTAACATGAAAATGGAAAGCAGACAAAATGGAAGAGGGAGAGCACTGGGAAGCCTCGTGAGTTCAAGTTGTCCTTTGAACACAACCACACACCAAGGCTAGGCAGGCCCTCTTCCTTTCTGCCACCAACGCATCTAGTGATGGGACACTCAGCACAATCTTCAATGCAGAGACCCAACCACCCAGGGTGTTTGTAGGTCGTTTCCAACACATAATCCTAGGTTTCTCCCGTTTTTGGACTGTTACTTATGAAAGATGAAAAATGCTTTTTTTAAATTTTATTTATTTATTTGACAGAGGGGAAAAGAGAGCACAAGTGGGGAGCGGCAGGCAGAGGGAGAGGGAGAAGCAGGCTTCCCGCTGAGCAGGGAGCCCGACACGGGGCTTGATCCCAGGACCCCGGGATCATGACCTGAGCCCAAGGCAGACAATTAACTGACTGAGCCACCCAGGCGCCCTGAAAAATGCTTTTTATGGTAAAACGTAATCAACTAGAAACTGTGGGTATTTTAAAATCTACTTGGTAATTTGGAAAGGAGATCCGTGAACACCAGTTGATAAAGAAGATATAGAAAAATTTAAGGTAAGACTTGAGAGAGTTCACCACGATCTGTGCTTGAGACACTGTAGGATGCTGATGAAACTACTCTGTACTAGGAACGCTTGCCTGAATCTCCCAGGGGAGGATCAAAGGGATCCAGAGCTGCTAGTTTTAAGCAGAATAAGGAACAAATCAACCATGTACAAATGCCATATGTACGTTCCAACTCCTTGTGATCGTGAGAAGGCTTTCCAGGGGAAATCTAAAATACCTGATGGTTGGGCGCCCGGGTGGCTCAGTCGGTTAAGCGAGCTGGCTCTTGATTTCGGCTCAGGTCATGATCTCAGAGTCGTGAGATGAAGCTAGCCCCGCACTGGACTCTGCACTGGGCGTGGAGTCTCCTTGAGATTCTCTCTCCCTCTCCCTTTGCCCCCTCCCCCTTCCCAAATAAAATAAAATACTTGATGGTGACACATAAAGGAGCCTAACAGGACCATGATGTTTCTGTATTTGCTGGAGCGAAAAATGACTTTTGGGAAGGTGGTAAAATTCCTATTGTAGATTGTTCATTACGCTTTAATTACAGGGACGTGCTTTCAGTTTCTCAAAAACACCAAGCCTGCCTAAGGCATAGGTGCAGGCTACGCTCCTGGCCTGCTCTGGCCACCTGGCCAACATGCCCCTTCATTCTCTTTGCTCTCCAGCTCTCTATCGTTCGTCTCTTCTTTAGGCTGCGTGCTTGCTCACTGACGGTCGGAAGCTCCCCAAGAGCAAGCACCGTGTTCAGTTTGGCTCACCACTGAGTACTCGGCACCTACTATATACCTACAGTGTACAGCCGACATGTGGAATCCAGGAAAAACACAAAGAAATGAGAAATGGGCCTCAAGCCAAGGTAATATAGAGACCAATCCTTTTTCGTCCTCTCCTCCCCTCCGATAACGAAGAGAAAGCCTGTCTCTAACATAATCTGGAGCAGCCGAGGCTCTGCTTTTGGGAGACCTGTCGCTGTGGTCACACTGCTGACTGCGCACAGGTGACCTCGTCCTCCTGGGGCCCAGCACCAGGAGCATAGCCTGGCTCTTCAGGGGACCCCTGGGTGGCCTCTCAGCTTCAATGGCGTCCCTTCCTTTCCCTCTCTTAGGGATCTCAAGAGGCCTCAATCCCATGATTGTAACGCTGCAAGCATTCTACTTTAAGAGAAAGTTACAGGTGCGCCTGGGTGGCTCAGTCAGTTGGGTGTCTGCCTTTGGCTCAGGTCATGATCTCAGGGTCCTGCTCAAGCGGGGAGCCTGCTTCTCCCTCTCCTCTGCCCCTGCTCATGCTCTCTCTTGCTCTCTCTCTCTCAAATAAATACAATCTTTAAAAAAAAGAGAGAGAAACTTATAAAGGGCTAAAAAAAACCCCTGATATTTTTAAATGTGACTTCTGGGGTGTCTAAAAATCACTCATGGTGATGGCTGAAGGCAGTATAAGATCTTGACTCATCAAAGAGAAGTTCAATTATAGGCCATGTGTAGTTTTACATAGATTTAGTTGGATCGGATTTCTTTGGAAACGGACTCACCACATACATCCAGGGTATGGATGAACACTCAGCTAGCTAGAATATGGATCTGATCCAGACAGCCTTCTTCCTGACTCTTTCAGATGAACAATGGCTTCTCCGCCTTTCCCTTTCCTGGCCGACCTAAACAGAATGTGAATTTGCGGGGCTACGTACGCATGCAGCAGTTTGAGAATGCTCAGTAACGAATATTAGAAACACGGAAGAGTTTCTGTTACTGACAGCACGGGCTTGAGAAGCTGCACAATTAATTTTAGCATAACCCGGAGCGTAAGGCAAGTCCTGGGATTCGATCTTGGATCCGAGGTCCTCAAGATGCATGAGAAAGAAAACCAAGTGAGTTGGTAGAACTGCAGTGCATACTTCAACTAAACATAAGGCTGTCCTAGAAGTCGGTTCTTTCAAAGCCACCAGAGGCTTTGGAAATTTGGACAGGGCATGTGGTATCTCCATTATGAATGAATCACGTACCCAAATTCCCACATACCTGTCCACTTCAATTACAAAATGGTCACTGAGCTCCTTCTGCGATAGAAGACATTGTGTTTGGTGTGATAAAAGGCGCCAGGACCTCCAGAGGGCGGGAGCACGTCACACTGCCCCACCAACGTCCGATTGGCAAAACCCAGGAAACTCTATGGGCTCCACAGCCCGGTCACTTCGACAGGTCAATTGTAAGAAAAAGAA